CATCGCTTCCTGGCAGTTGGTCCATCTAACTTAGCTCCGCCGTTCACTCGTTTCAGCTCATTTCTCTCTTTTAACTCTATTATTCTGACTAAGTCATTCCACAAACTAGATTTAGTCACTTTAAGGACCATGGAACGAGTTTTTTCTTAGTTTTCCTATCGAGGATCGGAGATGTTACAATTAACCTCAACTCCGATCTTCTTCGTCGGCGGACACTTTACCCTACTACCTATCTCGAGAGGTCCATGGCCAATAGATGGTGGGACGAAGACATCATTACTTTTAGATGCAAAAAGAAGCAAACAAAATAGAAAGAGAAGAAGCGTCACCACCAGATTAAAGAATTTAAAAGAAATTTCATAATTGCAAGAAGAGACGACAAACGAAACAACAAAGAAACAAAAGATTTAACAAGATAGTAAGATTCTGGAAATTGCGAGAAAACTAAATCCAATAAACATAAAGATATTTCCGATAAACAAAAAAGCAAATCCGGTCAACTTGGAAACCGAGAAGCTATTAACAGTGAGGGAACTCAACGCCAATGTTAGAACACGCCAGTAACAAACTCAAGATTGGTTTCTGCAAGCTTCTAAAGAGAAGATGGAGGTTCTCGAAGAGAGAGGTTATTCTTGTTCTTGAGATATAATACTATTTGTATATTGATGATGAAAAGGATTTCCTATTTTCCGAATTTTAATCTCAATTATGCCTATAACTCCAAGAATAATTTTGTGAATGGTAACATTTATAGAAATATTAAAAAAAAACAACAAATGAATTAGTCGAACTAAAATCAAAGTAACAAATGAAATCTTCCGGAGGATCCATATCACTACGATGTCAACACCGGCCCGTGCAATCGCCGAACTCCTCCTCGATGGCCTCCGTGACAAGACACCGCGATGCCTCCATCAAATTAGGGCTGAGTCTAAACATGAGTACGCAAAACTCCATCTGGTTCAACGCACCATCGCAATCGAAATCCCATTCGTTAATCATACATCGGACATCTTCGTCCGTCAAATCTCTGAGACCCAACATGATGAGGACATCAGAACAGCAGCTGAATTGGAGCTCCATAAAACGTGCCACACAAGCCGCATAGGAGTCGACAAAGACACATGTGCCTTTCCTGGAGCATACCGAATTAACCACGAAGATTCAGAGTATGAAACCACTTGGAAAACGTTCTCAGCTCAACTACAGCACGACAAGAATTTGAAGCAACCTAATCGGAGTTTCAACAAAGGAGATAATCAGTTTGCAAGTCCAGTGTTTCTGGACTTACCCGGTTTAGACATATACAGATTAAGAGATTTTCGACCAAACCAAGAAGATTTAAGGTACAAATCGACTTATTCTATATTCTTGATCCATCATAGGCTCATGAGGATTTTGAATCAAGTCAATACCGGTTTTTGGTTGGGAGATATTAATTTTCTAAACCGAAGAATCCTACACTCGCCTTATTTGGAACCTTTCAGATTTGGGAGACTTCAATCATATGTTTGGCGTCCAGGAGAGTATCTACTACAACTAGAGGCTCCTAAGAACACGTCAAGATTCATTCCCAGCCATTGGATAAGGAGGATTCAATTATATACTTACTTACCATATTTGGCGTCACAAGGACCATTTAATGCCCAACAACTCTTTCCCTTTGAGCCACTGAAGAATGCGAGTATTTCCAGCCTCTATATCAACCAAAGACTGTTATCACATGGATTTATAATCCTTATCTCGAGATACAAGTTGCCTTATCAAGCTCAAGCCACCATAAAGCCTCCAACGGCTACAAATCCAAGAAGAGCCTCACTTGATTTTCTTTCTAATTTGTAATTTATAGCCGTTAGTAGAGTCCTAAACTAGCCTATATAAGCTCAGTCCTTTGTCTCATTGTAACCACCTTTCAATCAAACTAATCAAAGTATTTTCGTTTTCTTTCAAAGTGTGTTTCTTTGAAGAATTGTTCTTTCTTTTGAATACAAGTGTGAGATTCACTTCTATTCTTTAGAAGCCACGAATATAGTTGTTTCTGTGATTCAAATAACTTGTTCGTTCACAGATTGAGAGAGTCAATCACCCCATGGATTGAGAGAGTCAATCAAATCACCACCTTCCATCTCAACATCACGCCTATTTCTGCAAGAAAACTTGTAAACTCTTGATTATCTCGTGAATATAAGTTTGGTGGATTCCAATCTTATATCACAACACCGACGCTGCGTTCCGGCGAAGGCTCTCGAGCGTAATAACACCTTGTCTCCGTCCATCAGTAGCTCAAATCCGTTACAGAGTTCTCCGATCAACCCCTCGCCGCCTAGCTTCCCGGCCATCGCTGGAAAGAAATCGTGGAAATTGGGCTCTGGGTTTTGTTGGGTTGGTCTGGTAGATGACTTTGGAGACGCCATTAAAGAAGATTAGAACTGTTGTTGAAAATCTAAGAGGATTAAGAAAGGTTTCTTTGTTTGTTTTTGTTACTTGTGTGTGAGGTTTGATAATGTGGAGAAGAGAGAGTGAATATAAAGGAGGAGAATTTGGGATTTCCGAGAAGGAACAAAGCCATGGAAGCCAACTAGATAATGGAGGAGGAAGGTCAGTTCTGTGTCTGGGAAATTTGTTGGGCATGGGCTTCAAATATTGCCACTTTTGAAGTCCATTTCCGAAAAAGGCCCAGCGAACAGAATGACCCAATAACATTCGACCCGGAAGAGGAAAGCATGACGAACTCAGCCCAGAAGGAGGGAGTCTGCCGAGCTCGCCCAAGCAACTGATGATTCAAGCCCAAATTAAGCCCAGCCGCCTCTTGCATTGAATGACATCAGCACTGGTCCCAAGGAAGCCCTAGTACCTTATTCTCTCCACTTTTAGTATAAATAGGGGTCTCAATCCCATGAGGAAAGGACCACTTTTTTCCACTTTTGGGCAAGTACAAGGGAATTTGAGAGCGTAAAACAATCATTCTCTAACACCAGAAGGGAAGAATCATCTGATCGAGCCTGATTGGTCAGAAAGGACAAGAATTACTCGTGGAGAGGCTGCGCAGAGTTCGTACTTATCACACCGGCATTTCGACCTCGAGTGCACTTATCATCAGGTTCCGACCTCCGATTCACCGACCTCGTCGTCCAGTTATTCAGTCAGTTAGGATCTCTAACCCGATCTCGTTTTCAATTACAGGTTCCGACCTTGAAAGCGACGGTCTCATAAACTCACCCAGATATTCAGATAACTGAACACAAGGTTCGTCAGCCGACCTAAGCTTCCGAGCTCAATACAAAATCTTTTTCTAGCATGTACAGTTCTCTATGTATTAGCCCGTCTCCGAGTTAATATCAATAAACGAGAATTTCCGATCCTTTGCTGTATATAAATTTATTGTCGAACTCATGGATCAACAAAATTGCGAAACAATCGACAATTTGTTGTTGTGGGTTTCTTCTTGGAAGCTCGGTAATGGTTAGAATCGTCAATTTGCGTGTTTTGTTTTCTACGGACACGGAATGTTCTAAAGAGCTAAACTAATTAATTACCCACATTTCATGAACTTTGACCAAAACTAAAGACCAAGAAATTTAGACCACATTTTATGTATACAATCTTACTAAATGTATCAACAAGAAGAAATTTAGACAATGGTTACAATCTTACATGTGGATCGTCATGTTGATGTGCTTGTGAAGAAATCCTCAGGTGGAGTATTGTTGCCCAAATCGGCTGTGAAATTCAAGAGGTACCTAATGGGCAAGGTAAAGCTTTGTTCTGTACTTGTATGTTATAAGACTTAAGAAGAAGCAATTGATGCTGTTGGAGTTTGTTTCAGGTTCTCTCTCTTGGGTCTGAGGTTGGAGAAGTAAAGCCTGGCAAGAAGGTAACTTTGTTCATCTAACTCTAACATCATTCGTGTTGTCGTTGTGTCTTTTGCAGGTTCTCTTCTCTGACATTAGTGCCTATGAAGTTTGTATTTGAGTGACGATGAAATATCTAAAACACTGTTATGTGACTTTGATCATGCTTGTGTAACTGAGACATCTCTCTTGATTTCTTCAGGTTGATTAAGGAACAGATGCTAAGCATTGCTTTTGCAAAGAGAGTGGTTTTTTAGCAATGGTCCAGTGATTTGAAGTTGGTTGAGGAGATAGGGTTAGTTCAATTGAAGTTGGATAAAGTCTTCTTATCTTTGAATTGTTTTGTACCACTTATAAAAGTTTTATCTAAAATCTAATTACCATTGAATCAAATGAGCCTAACTTTTTATATATATACTAAGTTTCTTAACATTTGAACTTTGATTTCTAGGCAGCTCCTAGAGAGAAAAATAGACAATCAGTGTCTATGTTTCATCCTATAAAATTTGTAAAGGATTATGTTCCAGATCCACTCAAAGCTCAGGTAACTTACAGAATATATGTACCCTATACTTACCATACTAAACAAACCCGTTTTTTTTTATTAGGACTTACTTAATATGTGTTTTAATTGAATTTTGGAAGGTGAAAAAAACTTTGAAAGCTGCGCCAATTTAGCAAAGTTTTCTCCGTTTGTTTGCTAAGATTGTTAACCCTGAAAACTATCAGGCTACACTTACTCCCAGAAAAATCATATACTGAAATGGATTGTGACGCCAAATTCTCAACTTTTTCATCATCTCTGTTATCTTCATGGCAACCCTCGTCCCACTGATTGCATGGCTTTTTTCAAGTCCTTTCCACCTTTCTAGTAATTAAGATCATTTTTTTCTGCAGCAAGATATATAGTTATTGGAATTACCATATGGCTGCGAAGGTTTTTCTGTAATGTTAATTGAATTGCTGAAGTTGTCTGATTAGTCTCAATGATCATGTTCCTTATTTTTTGTCAACAACTACTTTGATCGTTACTCAGAATCTTGGAAGCTTTTGACTTTTGAACATGCGTTCTTGGGATTTCAATCAATTGCTACTACTATTGATGTAGCAATATCACTTTGTTATTTGTGCTCCGTTAGGAATTATACTCTCGTCCTATGAATTATTGCTGGTTCTGGAAAACCAAACGTTACATTAAATCTCCTTTTAGTTTTCTTTGTTGTTTGAGACTTTGTGTCAACGTTGTGCATATCGGGAAACTGATTGCGTTTATATAGCCAATGTCAACATTGAACTAATTTATTCCTACACTTGCGAGCACATGAAAATATGTAATGCTTCAGTTCTCATCACCAAATCTCTTATAGGTGTTGTGTTGGCTAGCTGGAAGAGGCTTAAGCCAAGAGTTCATGCTCCAACAGCACCACACGTGAAGGTCTTTTTATCTTGATTTCCATATATTTTCTCTGAAAGCTATACAATTCAATTAATGTGACATTTGTTAAACAACAGGCTAAACATACTTTACTATGGAGTGCGGTTCAACAGCCAGGTAACTCAATTTTGGCAAAAATACTCCCTCTATCTCTATAGGAAGTTTAGAAGACATGTGGGAGAATTTTTTTTTTCCCCTGGCGTAGAGCAATGCCTTTTGTAATACCACACTAAAGATGAAACAACTGGAAATATGGTAAATTTCTCACTCTTTCAATCCATTTCTATACTGTTGGGCCCGGATCTGCGGCCCAACATTCTGAGCAGATCACAAGTCGCAAATCACCCAAGGAAGCAGAGGCCCAGCGAGTTCGGGAGAAGCCCAGCGGGCTGCCAGAGGCCCACTCCAACTGTTAACCGCGATCTGATCACACCTAAGGCATATCCGAACTGAGCTTGGTCAAAACAGGGGTATATCAGATCAACCACGGTCAGCTGAACTCAAGTTAAACCCGCCGCCTTTCACTATAAATAGAGGTCAAAGGGTGATGTGACAATTCATTCACTTATTCCTCAAGAAGTACAAGCGCCGCCACTCGCGAGCTCTCTAAATTCTACTCTTTATACTCAAAATCTAGTAGTTCGGAGTCTGTCCGATCTACCACGATCTCTTAGCTAGCAAACTGATAGCACGGGATCTGTCCGGACTATCTTTAGCGATCTATTTGTACTTACACCTCTTCGACACAACTTTCTATATACGAGATTCTCCGACCTCTGATCTATTATAAATTCATTATCGTCCTGCTTGGATCAACAACAGGCGCGCCAGGTAGGGGACTTGGAGATTTTCTAACGCAAAGAAATATGAGTCCGCACGTATCCATAGTTCAACAACCCGGAGAAACATCAAATCAGGAAATCTTGGAGGCAGCTCGCGAAGCTCCACCTATCACAATGGAGTCCAGCCCGGTCGTCACTCAGACCGCAACAAATGAAGAAACGAATGCCACAGCTCGTGGCCCTGAAGCAACAACAAATACGGACGATCAGATTGATCTCGTTCGCGTCCTGGGAACCCTCATGAGACGCTTTGACCAACAAGACGACATGGTTCGTTAAACAAACGCCCGTCTGGACTCCCTCACAACGGCTCAGACCGTCATACAAGAGCAGCTCGACTCTTCCCGATCTGCGAACTCGCAGCACCCTAGGGCGAACTCATCCCCGTCTCTTGCTGAAGGACATGGACGCCCAGCCGTCCAGCATCAGATTATTAACCTCAATACTCCATCACGAACTCCGATCAGCATGCAACTCGAGCGCGCAACCCACCCAAGGYAACACTCTTCAGCCCACGGTTCTGAGCTTGAGAGCATTAAAGCTTCACTTCGAG